TGGCCATTTTGAATCAGACAATCATATGATCTACTATGCTGGAAAGGACAAATTGAAGAGAAATGGCATTGAATTCATTGTCAAAAAGAACATTGGAAGATCTGTCCTGAAGTGCAGTGCTGTCAGTGATAGGATAATATCCATACACCTATAAGGAAGACCAGTCAATTGGACTATTATTCAAATTTATGCATCAACCACTAATGCCAAAGATGAGAAAATTGAAGACTTTTACCAACTTCTGCAGTCTGAAATTGATCAAACACGCAATCACGATGCATTGATAATTACTGATGATTGGAATGCAGAAGTTGGAAACAAAGAAAAAGGATCAGTAGTGGGAAAATATGGCCTTGGTGACAGAAATGATGCCAGAGATTACATGATAGAATTTTGCAAGACCAACGACTTATTCATTGCAAATACCTTTTTGCAACAATATAAACGGTGACTATACACATGGACCTCACCAGATGGAAAACACAGCAATCAAATCAACTACATCTGTGGAAAGAAGATGATGGAAAAGCTCAATATCATCAGTCAGAACAAGGCCATGGGCCGACTGCGGAACAGACCATCAATTGGTCATATGCAAGTTCAAATTGAAGCTGGAGAAAATTAAAACACATCCGTAAGAGCCAAAGTAAAACCTTGAGTACATCCCACCTGAATTTGGAGACCATCTCAAGAACAGATTTGATTCAATGAACACAAATGACTGAAGACCAGATGAGTTGTGGGACGACATGAAGGACATCATGCATGAAGAAAGCAAAGGGTCATTCAACAGACAGCAAAGAAAGAAAAGACCAAAATAGATGCCAAAATATATTCTGAAAGTTGTTCTTAAATGCAGAGTAGCTAAAGCAAATGGAAGAAATGATGAAGTAAAAGGGCTGAACAGAAAATTGCACAGGTTGGCTCGAGAAGACAAAATATTCTAATGAAACGTGCAACACCTGCAATTAGAGAACAAAAAGGGAAGAACACACTCACGATTTCTCGAGATGAAAAAACTGAAGAAAAAATTCAAGCCTCAAGTTGCAATCTGACAGATTCTATGGGCAAAATATTGAACAATGCAGGAAGCATCAAAAGAAGATGGAAGGAATACACAGAGTCACTGTACCAAAAAGAATTGGTCGACGTTCAACCATTGCAAAAGGTAACAGATGATCAAGAACCGATGGTAATGAAGAAGTTCAAGCTGCACTGAAGGCACTGGCGAGAAACAAGTCTCCAGGAATTGATGGAATACTAACTGAAATGTTTCAACAAACGCACGTAGCACTGGAGGTGCTCACTCGTCTCTACCAAGAAATCTGTAAAACAGCTACCTGGTCAACCAACTGGAAGAGATCCATATTTGTGCCCATTCCAAAGAAAGGTGATCCAACAGAACGTGGCAATTATTGAACAATACCATTAATATCACACGCACACAAGTAAACTTTTGCTGAAGATCATTCAAAAACAGTTGCAGCAGTATGTTGACAGGGAGCTGCCAGAAATTCAAGCAAGATTCAGAAGAGGACATGGAATAAGGGATAACACTGCTGATGTCAGATGTATCTTGGCTGAAAGCAGAGAATATCAGAAAGATGTTAATCTGGGTTTTACTGACTATACAAAGGCATTCAACTGTGTGGATTATAACAAATTATGGATAACACTGCGAAGAATGGGAATTCCAGAATACTTGTGCTCATATGGAATCTGTACAGAAACCAAGAGGCAGTTGTTTGAACAGAACAAGGGGATTCTGCATGGTTTAAAATCAGGAAAGGTGTGTGTCAGGGTTGTATCCTTTCACCATACTTATTTAATCTGTATGCTGAGCAAATAATCTGAGAAGCTAGACTATATGAAGAAGAATGTGGCATCAGGATTGGAAGAAGACTCATTAACAACCTGTAATATGTAGATGACACAACCCTGCTTGCCCAAAATGAAGATGACTTGAAGCACTTACTGATAAGATCAAAGAATACACCCTTCAGTATGGATTACACTTCAACATAAAGAATTCAAAAATCCTCACAAATGGGCCCATAAGCAACATCACGATAAAGAGAGAAAATACTGAAGTTGTCAAGGACTTCATTTTACTTGGGTCCACAATCAAGGCCCACTGAAGCAGCATTCAAGAAATCAAATAATGTATTGCATTGGGCAAATATGCTGTAAAAGACCTCTTTAAAGTGTTGAAAAGCAAAGATGTCACTTTGAGGATTATGCTGCATCTGACCCAAGCCATGATATTTTCAATTGCCTCATATGCATGTGAAAGCTGGACGATGAATAAGAAGACCGAAGAACAACTGACATCTTTGAACTGTGGTGTTGGCAAAGAATACTCAATATACCATAGACTGCCAGAAGAACAAACAAGTCTGTCTTGGAAGAAGTACAGCCAGAGTGCTCCCTGGAAGGGAAGATGGTGAGACTTTGTCTCACATACTTTGGACGTGTTATCAGGTGGGACCAATCCCTGGAGAAGGACATCATGCTTGGTAAGGTAGAGGGTCAGTGAAAAAGAGGAAGATCCTCAATGAGATGGACTGACACAGTGGCTGTAACAATGGGCTCAAACATAGCAATGACTGTGAGGATGGCACAGGACCAGGCAGTGTTTCATTCCACTGTACGGAGGGTCACTATGAGTCAGAACTGACTCGACGGCACCTAACACCACCACCACTACGTTGCAGAATGTAATTTGCTGATGTTATCATTCTCAGATATTCACTCGCAAATGTTCAATTTTATGATTTACTGTTCAAAACACTGGTGGATTTATAAAGATACTGATAATAAAAGGCAGTAATAATGAAAACTAAAAAAAAAAAAATGAGGTATTCGACTTATGTGCGAACCGACTTATAATGGAGTCGTCAGAACAGAACCCCACAGTAAGTAGGGGACTACCTGTATGGCAGTAGTATCCAGAGGAAACAGCTAAGGAGTTGAAAGTGGTTGTCTCTAAAGAGTGAGAATCCAGGATGGGGAAGTTAAAGTAACTGTTATTTTTTCATTATGAGCCTTTTAGAACTAACTACTTGACTTTTTAAACTTTAAACTGCACAGGTATCACTTAGATTAAAATAAAAATTTTCAAAGAAGTATGCCTCTAGATTTTCTCAGAGTGTTAATGGGAAGGTAAAAGTGGTCAATTTTAGACAAATGAAACAAAACTGAGGTGGTCTCATTACACATCTTTTTTAAGTAAGTGTTTCATAAAATCGAAAGACATTTTGAAAGTTTTTTCTAATACGAAGTTTTTTTTTAAACTATAAGTAGCGATCAATTACTGGACCAATACCAACCTTTTTTTTCTTTTTTAAATGAAGTAGAAAATATCTCCTTCCTTTTTAATGAAATAAAATACCACATCACATGTAGTAAAGGTAGTTTCATAAAACTTGTTTCAGTTATACGTACACCTAGCTGACACTTATTGAATCTATACCAGTGCCAGGCACCGTGGACTGGGCTACAAGGTAAAAGGTGGTCTTAGCTCCTTCTACCTGGGGGCTATGATCAAAACAGGTTTGCAGGTCACTGCTCTTATAGATGGAAGTTGTCTGGTTTAGCTGAGAAAAGACGCTGGTCAGTTTCTGCACTCATGGTTCAATTATTATTCTTTTCGGAGAAATAAGAGATATAATAAAAAAGGACAAAAACCCAGACATGATAAATAAACTCACAGAGCTGTCTTATTCAGTAGTTTTTGTTTTCAAGGCTGAATGCTGTCAATGTAAACTGCAGGCTAACACAGAACTTCCCAGAAATCTGAGCCCCAGCCCATACCTGGTGGATCTGGAAGACGGAAACCAATGCTGCATGGAGGTAGTCATTCTGAGGCTGTTTGGTATAGAAAACCTGGATTGGGTGCTGCCGCCCTTCCAGGTAGAGGACAGGGGCTCCGTTGAAGTACTGAGAGAAGAGGTCCACATCCATCGTGGCTGACATCACAATCACCTGTACAAGAGAGCACAGACGAAATGGGAAACAAAACGGGGACAACCCTGCCGTGTCCCTCCAAACATGAAAAGGTGATTGAGGCCTGTGTCACTCCCATCACGGTTAACTTCCCCATGGTTCAGAAGCAGAATGCGCGAAGAAAGACAAGCTGAGGCTGACATAAAGGACTATCTCCTTAAATGTGCTAGACGTACTTTGAGAGGCAGTTTCCCTAGTCCCTTCCGCCGCCTCTGTGCAGTTTTCACCACCCCAAACAGCACGTCCGTGTGGATAGTTCGCTCGTGGGCTTCATCCAGAATGACACAGCTGTACTTCCGGAGCAGTGAGTCTGAAATGGCTTCACGCAGAAGCATGCCATCAGTCAGGAACTTGATCCTGGTGTCTTCTGAGGTGACATCGTCAAAGCGCACCGTATAGCCAACCTGTGCGAAAAAATCATCCAGTCACTCATCAAACACTTGCTGTGCAACTACTTCACGTCTAAGCGCTGTGCCAGGCACTTGTGCCATCATATGAACAAGACCAACACTGACACCGCTCTGTCACTTGGGGGTCACACAGGCCAGGGGGAGAGACAGGCAATGAACGACATGAACATTTAACTGCAGCGGTAATAAGCGTTACAAAGAATTTAAAACTAACCTACAAAAGAACATCTAAAAAGAAGATCAGTAAAGAAACAGAGCACTTGAACAACGCTATAAGCCCACTAGACTTAACAGACATATATAGGACATTGCATCCAGCACGAGCACAATACATATTCTTCTCCAGTGCACGCGGATCAGGCCCCAGGACAGACCATATGTTTGGTCACAATGCAAGTCTTAATAAATTTAAAAAGACTGAGATAATACAAAGTATCTTCTCTAAACACGATGAAATGAACTAGAAATTAATAGCAGAAGGAAAACTGGATAATATACAAATATGTAGAACTTAAAATTAACCTACAAACCCCAAGCTACTCTCACTACTTCCATGTGAAGCTGTGTACAGATGTGGAGAGAGGGTCAAGCAGTTTTTAAGTGGAAACACACCCACACAAAAACACAAATAAATCTGTCTCGTATTTGGTCTGAGACTCGCCTTTGTTTTTTTTTAAACACTCATTATTAATACCCACATATATGCTAGAATAATGTTTACAATTTTCTTAGAAAGATACACGTTACCTAACAGAGGTTACTGAAACCTTAAAGATGCTCAAAGAAAACTAATTAATTCAACTTGCCAGCAGATTCTGAAAGCAAAGCAACTGGGACTAACAGCCTGTCAGCCCTTCTGATCTCTTCGGAACTGAAGAAGAACTCTGAGACAAGCTTAAACAACTGGGGCAAGAGGAAGGTTTTCTGTGTGTAAAGAAAAGCCTCGTTTAGAAAAAGGGAGGGGGGTTAGGAGGGTAGGAGAACTGTCTATTCCTGACAGTGAAGAAGAAAGTCAGGTACCAGCTTCCCAAGTTCAGTTCTCTTCTCATCTGAGACTCTGGTAGCTAGCGAGATGGCAGCCACCCGACGGGGCTGGGTCACAGCAATGACGCCCTGGCGGCTGATACCTCCTTCATAGAGGTACTGAGGGATCTGTGTTGTTTTCCCTGAGCCAGTTTCCCCTAGGAAAGAAAAAAAAAAAGTCTCGTTTAAATGCAAATTGGAACAAACTTCACCAAACAAACAGATCAAAGTCAGAGGAATCGGATAAAAGAAAACACTGAGTCTGTAAAGCTTCAGGAAGGTGGGCACTTGTGGGCACTGCTCAGGGGGCACCGATGGTGGTACTGCTTCGTGGGAGGCCCGAAGATACCTAAATCTTTAACATGGTTATAAACTTCGCTGCTGCAGGAATTGATTTTAATGAATTAATCAAAGATGGGTGTAAAGATACACTTCAAAAAAAGATACAGCTTCACAAGTGTTTTATTGAACCTTGCTTATGATAGCAAAATATTGGAAACAATATAAATGTTCAACAATAGGTAACTGGTATAGCAAACACAAAACTAAATACAACTGTTACATAATGTTGTACTTTTCAAAAGAATAAGATATATACTGATATGTCCGAGATGCTTTTAAGTGGAACCCCCCCGCCCACCACCACCACACACACAAATAAATGTCTTATATATGGTTCTGGGACTTGTTTTTTCCCTCAATCACTTGTTTTTTCCCTCAATGCCACATATATGCTAGAATATGTTTACAATTTTTCTAGAAAGACATTTAAGAGGTTTAACAGGGCCTCTGAGGAGTGGAAATAGAAGGTTGGAGAATTTCTCTTACCACCCCTCTATCCTATTAAGTTTTACCATAAAACCCATTCTCCAGTCCATTCCGACTCATAGCGACCCTATAGGACAGAGCAGAACTGCCCCACAGGGTTTTCCAGGCTATAATCTTCACTGGAGCAGACTGCCACATTTTCTCCCTTGGAGCAGCTGGTGGGTCCGAACTACTGACCTTTCAGTTAGCAGCCAAGCACTTAACCACTGTGCCACTATAATCATGTATTATTCTTACAATATTTTTTAAGATATTTACATGAATATTTAGTGATCTGGAAATATTCATGGTACGGTTTATGAAAAAAAGCAAAATTCAAAACAATCATATGATCTTTTAGAAAAATTTGTTGTTTTAGACATAGTCTAAATAGAAAAACACACAAGGGGTTAATGATGCTTATTCTAAGATGGGAGCCCTGGTGGCACAGTGGTTAAGAGCTTGACTACTAACCAAAAGGTCAGCAGTTCGAATCCACCAGCCACTCCTTGGAAACCCTATGGGGCAGTTCTACCCTGTCCTATAGGGTCACTATGAGTTGGAATCGACTCGACGGCAATGGCGTATTCTAAGATGGTGGCATATTAAATTTTTTTTTTAACTTATCTCCATTTTCTTGTTAAGTTAGTTAATTTAAAATATTTCATGCAATTGTCTTCAACAAATATTTTGAAGCATCTACTCTGTGCTAGGCACCGTGCAGCCATTTTGGAGGGTTATTTGGCTGGATGATGGTGCAAACGGTTAAGTGCTCAAACACTAGCCAAATGGCTGGCAACTCAAACCCACTCAGAGGGCCTCAGAAGACAGGCCTGGTGATCTGCTTCTGAAAAGGTCCAGCCTTGAAAACCGTTTGGAGTAGTTCTACTCTGCACACATGGGGTCTCCATGAATTGGAATCGACTCAACAGCAACTAACAACAACAACGAGACATACATGGCTTACACCCACCAGCAGTACTGTGGAAGAAAGAGCCTGGCAACTTGCTTCTGTTAAGACTACAGCCAACAAAACCCCATGGAGCAGCTCTACTCCACAGGAATCCACTCGACAGCAGCTAACAACGACGACAATCTTAAATGCACTCACTTTTCAACACAACAACTTCACTTATAGGTATCTATCTTACAAAATTACTTGCACAAATAAGCAAAGATTTTGCTTTCTAATGAAATTAATACTCTAAGTATTTGATGATGTGAAATAGCAATAACTGCCTCCAATACTTTTCTGAGAAGAACTTTTCACTTTCAAAACTCAGTGGCTGATAAATAAAGTGGTTTCTTTCTGGCATTTGTTTAATACATATTTGAGGATGTTGTTGTGGTATAGGGTCTCTATGAGTCGGAATTGACTCGAAGGCAACGGGTTTGGTTTCAGGTATGGCTGTTGTTAGATGTCATTAAGTCGATTCTGACTTACAGTGACGCCGTGTGACAGAGTAGGACTGCCCCATAGGGTTTCCCAGGCTGTAATCTTTATGGGAGCAGATAGCCAGGTATTTCTCCCTCAGAGCCAATCTTCTAGTTAGCAGCTAAGTGCTTAACCATTGTGCCACCAGGGCTCCTTACATCCAAGGTTACTGTCTTAGTCATCTAGTGCTGCTCCAACAGAAACACCACAAGTGGATGGCTTCAACAAAGAGAAGTTTATTCTCTCACAGTCCAGTAGGATACAAGTCCAAATTCACAGCATCAGCTCCAGGAGAAGGCTTTCTCTCTCTGTCGGCTCTGGAGAAAGGTCCATGTAATGCATCAGTCTTTCCTTGGTCTGGGAGCTTCTCTGCGCAGGAACCTCAGGTCCAAAGGACACGCTCTGCTCCTGGCACTGCTTTCTTGGTGGTACGAGGTACCCATGTGCCTCTGCTCGCTTCTCTCTTTTATATCTCAAAAGAGACTAGATTAAGACACTATCTAATCTTGTAAACCTCATCAGCATAACCTCATCACAGTGACAGAGTTTACAACACATAAGGAAATCACATCAGATTATACAATCATACAATACTGGGAATGATGACCCAGGCAAGTTGACAGATATTTTTGGGGGACACAATTCAATCCATGACAGTTACCAAACCAAAAACCAAACCATTGCCATTGAGTTGATTCCAACCCATAGCAACTGTATAGGACAGAGTAGAACTGTCCCATAGGGTTTCCAAGGAGTGGCTGGTGGATTCAAACTGCCGACCTTCTGGTTAGCAGCCAAACTCTTAACTACTTCGCCAATCAATAAACCACAAAATGCTGAACCACAGAGTGTGCGAAGCCCTGCCTGACCAGAGGAGAAAGCAGTGGGAACCCCCCAACTGAGAGTGATGGGGAGAGGGCTGAACCCTCAGACATCCCTAACTCAAAGCCATTTATCAAATATGGGGTGTAGGGGTGTGGGCTTTAACAGGGAACACAGAAAAAGAAGGGACACTTAAGTTTGGATGTAGCAGAAGGAACTTCTAAGAAACATTTATGGAATAATAGCTGACACTGAACATGTCCCAGTGCCAGGCACTGCTCTAGGCATTTTACATGGGTTGTCTCACTTAATACAATCCCCTGACAGGTACTGTAT